CGGATCCGGCCCGGAGGGGGCGGGCGGGGCTGCGCGCTCTTAAAGGGGCCGCCCCTTTCCCGAGTCGGCGGGGCAGACAGGGGAAGAGCTGGGGTCTCCCCACGCGATCGGGCCAGGAATCCCGGGTCTTCAAGCGCTCTCGACGCAGAGGGCCCCAGGGTCCCCAGACAACTGCGACCGGCCCAGGCGCCCCAGCCCCACCCAGCCTAGTACCCTGGGCCCCGTCCAACCTCTTTGATCCCCTGGGGAGGAGGTTGGGACCTTTTAATCCTCCGCCTCCCCGGACGGTGGGCTCCCCGGGCTGGCGCACAGCACGGCCTGTTCCCAAGATGAAGTCAGGAAGCGATAGCGGCTGGGGGCTGCGAAGTCACCTCCTCCCGGGTGGATCTCCCCTGGCCAGATAACCGGCACCGCCGCGGGGAGGGGAGGATGGCCCTGGTGACTGAGGGCTCCTTGTGCTCACGGAATGCTGGGTTTTGACCTTGAGATGAGGGGAACCGGTTTTACAGATGAGGATACTGAGGCTTAGAGAAGTAGGCAGATGGCCAAGGCCAGAGTTCCGCACAGAACAGGGGACGGGGGCATCGGAGGCCGGCCGGACACGGGAGGGTTAAGCCCCGCTAGGCTCTTTTTAAACTGCAGAGGACAGACCGCCGGGATCAGCGGGAAATCCTGCCCCCTGCTGCTGCCGGCTGGGTTGGGCGGGACGCCGGGCGGGTCTGGGCGGCAGCCATGCTACACGGGCGGGGCCGGCCTGCAGGGAAGCGCCGCCGACCACAGCCAGGCTCAGAGCTCCAATAAATCTCCTACTGTGTGCTACCAAGACTGCTCTGCGCCCTTGACCTGAATGGACTGGCGTGTCACCTCTGTGAGGGACACTCGTGCCCAACTGGGGCGCCGTCAGGAGCGCAGCTGGTGGAGCCGGGATTTGAACATGATTATGATGACGCCCTGGTCCACAGATCAGCAGCATTGGTTGAGCACCTATTGTTAGCCAGGCCTCTTGGTGCCAGGCACTCACAGACATCATCCCAGAGTCCTTGTGATTTTTTCTTTTCTTTTTTTTTGAGACAGTGTCTCACTCTGTCCCTTGCTCAGGCTGGAGTGCAGTGGCTAGATCTTGGCTCACTGCAACCTCCACCTCCCAGGTTCAAGCGATTCTTCTGTCTCAGCCTCCCGAGTAGCTGGGATTACAGGCGTGAGCCACCACATCCGGCTTTTTGTATTTTTAGTAGAGATGGGGTTTTACCATGTTGGCCAGATTGGTCTCGAACTCCTGACCTCAGGTGATCCGCCCGCCTCCCAAAGTGCTGGGATTATAGGCATGAGCCTGTGTGACTTTTTCAAAGTTGTTTTCTCAGTGCCTGGCATGGCACTTCCTCCAGTGAGGAAGGCAGAAATTAACAATCCTCAAGGCTGACACCTGCATGGCACCTACTGTGTGCTGGGTCTCTTTGGGCACTGGAAATCAACAGCAAAACAGCAGGGAACCAAGCAGTGCCAGCTCTCAGGGCCTGCTGTCCCAGTGGCAGGGAGGCAGCCTCAGGGCAGAGACAGGGATGAGGTGCAGGGGAGACGGGGAGGGAGCTGGGTGAGGGTGTGAGTGTGAGGGGGGCTGCAACTTAAAATCCCTCATCAGGAAGGGAGATGAGGGAGGAAGCCCGGGGATATCTGGAGGGGGAGAGGGAACAGTCAGTGCAAAGGCCCCAAAGTGTGCATGTGTCCAGCATGCTCAAGAAGACTGGGGAGGTGGCTAAGGCTGGAGTGCAGGGAGGTGGGTGAGGGAAGAGGTAGAGAGATTAGAGAGACCCCAGGGCTGGTTAAGCAGGGCCTTGCGGGCTGTGTCTCTTTTGAAGGACATGGGAGCCATGGAATGATTTAGAGCAGGGGTAGTTGGCTTAGGTCTTAACATTCCCTGGGGCTGCTGTGGTTGGCCAAGGCAGGAGCTGGAGCCTCCGAGGAAACCAGGTGGTGAGAGGGTGTTGGATTCTGGCTGTATCGTGAGGGGAGAGCTGATGTGCTGGTGGATTGGTTGTGTGAGAACGGGGTCCAGGACGACTCCCAGGGCTGAGCACTGGGAGGGCAGGGGTGCTAACACCTGGGGAGGGGAGGGCTGCTGGAGGTGGAGGAGGGTTGTAGGTTTGGGGTGAGGGTGAATCAGGGTGTGGACACTTAACAGTTTCATCTTCAAAATACCCCGATGAGCTATGATACTCTTAGGTGTTCTCATTTTACAATTTGGGGAAATTGAGGCCCAGAGAAGGCACAGGATGTGTGTAACCAGCAGCTGTGCAGGCATTTGACTCCTGCTTATACCTACCTTGCTCCATTTTGGGGCTGTGGACACGGGTGAAGTTGGACTGAACCCAGGCTCTGTCATTGGTCATTAGGTGGGATAGTGAAGCTCCCTGAGCCTCAGTGGCACCATCTGTAGAATGGGACAGTAGTAGTAGTCACATCATGGGGTTGTGAAAAATAATACCACTACCCAACTCAGTGTGGCCCGGCTCAGCATGTCCACTTCTCTGGGGAGGAGGGATTATAAAGAGATTCCTTCCTCCCTCTGTGGCCGGTGATAAGAGGCCTGTTCTAGACCACAGCCTCCACCTGATTGTAGGACATGTAGTTGCTATGGTGCAGACCTCACTGGGGGGTCAGACCCCTGGCCCAGGGCATGGTGGACCCTAGCTTTGACCCCCTCTGTCGTATGGTGGCCCAGGGCCTGTGGGGCCACGTCTGGGAAAGCCTCAGCCTCTGCATGGTCTCCCTTGTTCCTTGCAGGACCAAGAGAAACCACAGAAACTGCTGGAGGCACAGGAGGTTTGGGCTATGGGGACCCTAAGCCCATCTGTACAGATCCTTGAGGCCACCCCCCTCTGTGCACAGAATGCTGTGGCTCCCATATGGGCTCCTTCTGGCCTTTGGCCAGAGGGTACATAGGCAGTTTCTCGCACCCACTGCTGGGTGCCAGCCAGCAGCCTGCTTGGCCTTGGTTGCCACTAGAGGTCAGACGATGGCTGTGGAGCTTTCAAGCAAAACTCGCATTGTGGGCTACAGCCCTGCTACCAGGCAGCTCCAGGAACCTCTGGCACTGGTTGGATTAGAACTCCTAAGTTCTCCAGCCTGGACTGAGGCTCTGAGCACAGCCCAGGATGAGGGAGGGACTCACAGGAGGCTTCCGGCTGCTGTGTCCAGGTGTGGGCTCAGCTCCAATGACTGCAGCTGGTCAGCTCCTGCTCTGGCTGTGGGACAGGTGACCCCGAGCTGCCTCCAGTGCCCTCCACAAGAAAGACGCAAAATTGGAAAACCCAAGTGGGCTCTTTCCAACCTGCCTGCATCACAATGTCCTCACTGCCGGCCGTACGCCCAGCAGATCTGTCAGGAGTGGGGCAGGAGGGGACAGCATGAGGACCAGCTGTTGTCCCTGTCACAGACTGCACTGTTGGCCCCACAGCTGCTGCTGCAGCCCTGTGCTCTTTCCCGTCGAGCAGGGGAGCCACTCCCTGCGGGCATAGATCAGTCTCCCCATGGACCCCACCACCTTTGCCCAGGCCTGTGCCGTATGGCCTCGTGGGACCTCAAGTTTGTGTTGGAAACTTTTAGTCTAGGTGCTTTTGAGGAGTTTGAGCAGGGTGTGGGATAGATGCCAGCCTTTTGACCTGCTCTGTCATCTGCCCTGCCCACCTCCTTCATGCCCTGGCACCAGCCAGCTTCATGCAGGCCTTTGAGACAGGCTCGGAATCCATGCTGCCTGAGGGCATCTGTGCCCAGAGGAGTCCAGAAGTTTCTTCGGGCTGACAAAAATAGACTTACCTGCTGTAAACGTCTCTACCAGGGCTATTTAATGCCAGTGACAAACCCCTCTCAAGGTAGGGACTAAGGGTCCTCCTGGGGAGCCTATGCAGCCAGAGTCTGACGGATGCTTGTGCAGCAGCAGCTTTCAGAGCAGGTTGCTTGTCTTCCCTTAGTGCTGGCAGCATGCGGGTCATGTCAGAGCACCCATCCTTTCAGAAGCAGGTGCCTGTGTACAGTGGGTGGTGGGAGGGTGAGTGTGCGGGGTCTGGAGGGCAACAACCCTTAGCTCAACTCGGCCTCTCAATGGCAAGTCCTCCCTTGACCTCTCTGTTCCCATCTCAGCTGAGGTGTGGCTGTCCTGTGTTACCTGCCTTGAAGGTTATTAGGAATTAAACACATGGAGGTACTTAGTGCAATGCCTGGCATGACACAGGGGCCCAGTGATTCCCTAGTCAAGTTTGGGCCTCATAGGTGTGTGTGCACCTTGGCTCTGACACATCAAGGCTGAGGTGAGAGCGTCCTTGGCCCCTTGAGGAACAGTGCTGGACTGACGAGCAAGGCAGAGCAGGGCAACTGGGCTCCCAGGGGTCTTTTGAAGCATGGGAAGCATGCTTGGAGCCACCAAATGGTTTTGAGACTGGAGACGACCTCCTGTGTCTAGCTGGTTTGGGCCAAGTGTGGTGGCTCACGCCTATAATCCCAGCACTGGGAGGCCAAGGTGGGATGATCACTTGAGCCCAGCCTGGGCAACAGTGAGACCTGATCTCTACAAAAGCATCAAAAAAATTAGCCGGGTGCTACACCTGTAGTCCCAGCTACTCAGGAGGCTGAGGTGGGAAGATCGCTTGAGCTCAGTTGAAGCTGATTGTGCCACTGCACTCCAGCCTTGGTGAGAGCAAGGCCATTTCCAGCCACAACAAAAACCACCACAAACCTTGGTCTGGCTTCTAAGGAAGGGCTGGAGACACTGAGAGAAGCAGGGAACCCAGTGAGGTGGTGTCATGGAGGTGGGGGGCTGTGGTGGTTTGCACTGTCCTGGATTTGGAAGAGAGCTAGGTTGGGGGCTGGGGTTTGAGAATAGGTCATGGATGACCACAAAGTTTGGCGCAAGTGTGTGTTTGCTGACCTGGGGTGTAGGGAGGATGGGGCAGGAGCAAGCCCTGCTCTACACCCATCATGCACCCAAGCTGAGTTGCCCTAGGGAGAAAGGGCTGAAGCCAGAGTATGGGAAGGACAGCCAGGCAGTGTGGGGCTCAGGGAACCCAATGCTAGCCTTGGGGCTACCCCACATTTAGGGATAGAAGAAAAAGGAAGCAATGAAGGAGACAGAACAGAGAAGGAATGACCATTGATTTGGCAACATTAGAAGTCGTTGGTGACTGAGAGGTGTTTTTTAGTGCTGGCAAAGAATGAAGTGGGTTCCAGAAAGGGAGGCAGACATGGCTCTTTCCATGTGCTTCCTGTAGAGCGAGCCAGGAAGATGGTTTGGAGGGAGGGGTATGATGGCTGGTTAAGGGAGGGTTTTCCAAATGCAGAGAATCAAACACAT